CAATGCTAAGGAGGTGAAAAGATTCCTGGGCATGGCTGGGTGGTATAGGCGTTTCGTAAACAATTTTTCTAAGATTAATAAACCCTTATGTAAATTAACTTCTAAGAATGTATCATTTGAGTGGACGCGTGAGGCTGAAGAGTCTTTCAACCTGTTGAAGGCCGCTTTGGTCTCCGCTCCTATTTTGAAAATGCCTGACTACTCATTGCCTTTTAGGATTCTCAGTGACGCGTCATCCTTCTCTGTGGCTGCTGTACTCACGCAGACACATGAGGGAGTGGAACACCCTATCGCGTATTGTAGTCGTTCTCTTAACAAAAACGAAGTCAACTACAGCACCACTGAGCGAGAACTCCTAGCGGTGATCTTTGCTCTGGAACAGTTCAGGCAGTACGTGGAAGGCCAGAAATGCACCGTAGTTACGAACCACGCCTCGCTGTTGTGGTTCCGTAAACTTAAGAATCCGACAGGTCGCCTGGCGCGCTGGAGCATGAGGTTGAGCCAGTTTGACGTCGATATAGAGCATCGAAAAGGTAAAGACCATGTGGTATCCGATGCTCTGTCTCGAATTCAGATTGACACAATAGGCACCAGCGTTACTAGGGACTCTTGGTACCTCCACACTCTAGACAGGGTGAAGAAGAACCCTCAGCACTTCCCCAACTTTGATATACGTAATAACTGTTTATACAGGCTATCAAAACAGAAATACTCTCTGACCTCTGATTTTGATTGGAAGCAGGTGGTGCCGCTGGAAGACAGGTTATCCCTGCTCACCAAGTACCATGACGACGTCATGAGTGCCCATGGGGGTGTTTGGAAAACCCATAAACGTTTGGCCCTCTACTATTACTGGCCTAAGATGTACGAGAGTGTCAAGGAATATGTAGACAAGTGCGAGACTTGTAAGCAGTACAAACCTGTGAACACTACTCGTCCCGGCCTAATGGGGAATCCGAAACGGGTGTCTAGACCTTTTGAGGCCATCTCGTGTGACCTGCTGGGTCCATTCCCTACTTCCAGCAAGGGAAACGTTCATTTAATTGTGGTCTCGGACTATTTCAGTAAACATGTCATGTTGTGTCCTATACGGATAGCAACAGGCGTTGTTGTCGCGAGATTCATAGAAAATAATGTTTTCCTAGTCCACGGGGTTTGTAAAACCATTTATATGGATAATGGCCCACAGTTTGTTAGCAAACCGTTTAGGGACTTGTTGGTTAAGTACAATGTGCCTAACATTTATTATAATCCTAGATATCACGCGCAGACCAACCAGGCAGAGCGAGCTATACGCAACGTGGTTCAGGGAATTTCCTGCTACGTGAAGTCACATCACAAGAAATGGGACGAGAATCTCGTGGAACTCCAGTGTGCCCTAAACACTGCTGTCAGCGAAGCCACTCGTTTCAGTCCCTATTTTCTTGTTCACGGTAGGGAATTCATAGGGGATGGAGTTCTTTATAGACAGACAGAGATTCCTGCCCATCCTAATTCTGTTTCCATTGACAGTCCAGTGTCCTTTGGTGAGAGATTGAAGGAACTACATCGTATATACGACCAGGTGAGGAATTACTTAGATATTGCTCACCGGCGTAACGAGAAATACTACAATCTCAGAAAAAGGCATGTGGAATTGAAAGTGGGACAGATTGTTTATAAGAGGACATTCTATCTATCTAACAAGGCTAAGAACTTTACGGCGAAGTTAGCGCCTAAATTTATGAAATGCATTGTCACCGCCAAACGCTCTCCTTTAGTCTATGAACTGTCGGATTTGGATGGTAAGGATCTGGGAGTATATTACATTAAGGACATTTTGAAGTTTAGTGAAAAGGAACAACCTTCTGATCCTTCTCCTACCTATGTCAGTTCCGTCTCTACTCGTATGTGAGATTGCACACTTCGCGTCGCGCGGTCTCTCTTTGCCACACACCTGCTCACTCTATGGTGTTCACTTATGTGAGAACCATACAGTGATTCGGGTAGTAAATAGGGTAACACTTCTGTAGTATTGGGTGAAGGCCTTTTGACTTTGTTTTTTTTGGTAGTTATTGTTTTGTTTGGATTTCATATTGCTCACAATGAGTGTGGTCAGCGCGAGCTATATAATTTATTTAGCATTTATTGGGTTGACCCTGGTGATGATATTCCCTGCGCATGCTACGCAGGGAATACTTTGAGGGAGGGGGTGGTGTAACAGTTATTTTTTTTGTATATTTGTAATGCGTACGGTCTTGTTAAAAGCGACATCTATTGGCCGCGTTGCATTGTTGTTGATTTATCTAAAGTAGTTTATAACTACAGTATTGATCTTCTGCGTTCACTGTTGGACCACTAGATGGTGTTTTTGTTTGTGGATAAGTCAGTATTGATCTATCATGAAAAATTGTATAGGTATTGAGAGTGTTCTGCTATGGTAGGAAGGAGTTACTTTTGATCTTGGTCGGGTTAATCCTCGTCGGTAATTTAAATGTCAAAGTAAAGTGTTGAGTAGGGGTTAATTTCTGGAAGCTTCGTTAACCGAAGATATATAAGTCCGGCTTTCAGCCACGGGAGACACTGCTATCTCGTGCCTTCCGATCTTAAATAGTGTTTTGATTGTTGTGTGATTTGATTTTCGTAATATATTATCTGTTCAAAAGTACCCACAAGAGTGGTGAGTATGGTCTTAATTTTTTCTTAAACCTATTTGTTTCTGGAACCTGATTAATTATATGAGTTGATGAGTACCCACTCAGAGGTACTACTAATTTATCTTCACCACCCATTATAAGGCTTACAGGAAAGAAAAGACAAGGTACTTACGGTTTTCACCTGAGCGGTAATCACGGCACAACGATTCTGTAAAGTACAATAACACGGTTTTAAACAAATTCGGATATTTGAGGAGTAGACGGGTTTGAAGACCTGACCGTTGAGCTGATAAATGCTGTAGTCCAGTTCACGATGCGATGAGATGACGGGCGATTCCGTATTTCGACGTGCTTCTCCGTGATCCGGCCGCAGGACCAACATGTTCAGGGCTCTTCAATAAATTCGTTTATTTTGAAAATTTTTGGAAACGGTTCATTTGGTAAAACCTTACAATTTGATTAAATTAAATAAAACAGAATGATATGTTATATTTTCAAAAGAAGAAATCGTTGTGTGGTGGCGCCGTTCAAACGTCCCTTTTAAATAGGAATTTGAACAGACGCCCCCTGCATTTCAAAGTGTACAAACATAAACATTCTCGCGATGAAAAGAAATGGCGCCAGATGTCGCGCCAACAGTAATAAAGAGGTAACATTTGTTTTATTTGTTCACTAATATGATATTCTACGATATTAAAAAAAGTAAAAAATCTAACCACTATCACGAAAAAGCTTTTAAATAAAACATTTCACAAATATTCTGCTGTCGTATCAATGTTAAAATAGGTACACGGAAAGAAATTAATAATAATTTAAATATAGATAAGTTGACCATAATAATATGGGAATGGTAACATTTACAATAATCATGGCGTATTAGTCTATGTCAGTATGGGCGTCAGGCCCATATTGCTTGGTGGTATCCACAATGCTTCTGGCAGATAACCCTACTCAATATTGTAAAATTACGTATGCTTATATTGCAGTAGTATCCATGTTTATTGAAGTCAAAACATATTTTATGTTTGGTTCTAGTTTTAAATATATTATCCATAAATATTATAAAATTAAACCCAATATTTATAAGTCGAGAAATTGATAAGAAAATAATATTAATGATAAATCTATGTCATTATTAATATTAATTATTTTCAGTATAAACTATGATTTTTTTAATTCCCGATTGAAATCAATTCATACCAATTAAAAATTCTCGATGGAATTAAAATATGATAAAAATGTTCTGAAATATATTGATTGCTTTAAATAATAAAAATATATCTTTTAGAAAAAATAATTTTTAAATTATGAGGCATTATTTTTTGTAAAATTTAATTGCTGCTAATCCGATAGTGTATTGACTACTCCACAAAGATCTATTGTGACTCAGCCTAGTGGCATTGCCGTTTCTTCAATGTAGTATGGGACTCAAGCCCATACTGATATTGTCTATCCCGCTACACAGACATGTAAACTACGCAAAGATTATTGTACTATACAGTACAGTAGATAACGCCATACTTATGGTACTGGCTGCAATACTATTATAAGAGTATGGCGATAAGCACCATACATTTCTTTCCGTGTACCTAGATTTTTTTTGAGCTTACTTCCCGTGTATAATTATCGCGAATACAGCGCGTTTTTGGTCATCCTCGCTCAATATCAAGCGCTATAACGAAGTTTTATTGTAATTTGTTTATTTTTAGAAATGTTTGGACTTAGAGATATTTAATTTGTTGCAGATTTTATAGATTGACTAAATTGATTAGTACAAAATGTCCGAAAACGTAGATCCTATCAAAAGAAAACAATCTGGATCACAACATAGAAAACGAAAGCAGAAAAAGAAAATGAATTTCAAAAAACAAAAAAGTTTATGAATATAGATAAATATATCACAACAAAAAATCAAGACCTGAATGTGGCATCTACATCTGGAATACAAACGAATACATCAGTAGGCCTCTGTCTGACAAGTCTGATCAGATAGCTGTTGAAGACATTGCTTTCGATGTTTCTCGAAGTGAGAAGACAAGTTGTGCTACAATTACAAATGCCGCTCAGGATGACTCCATTGGTGATGTACAATGTTGATGATATTAATACTGTTGTCCCGAATATATCGGATCCAGCCACTTGGCCACTCAATCGAAATAACAAAATTATTGATCATATAATAACTAGTGGCCCAGTGCAAACTCACATTGATAATTATCCGAAGAATAATACAGGGCGACATTTCTCTAATTCTCATTTCACAAAAAAACTTGCAAACAATGAAACAATTCAGCGTCGTTGGTTAATATACTCCGTTTGTAAGGATCGAGTTTATTGTTTTGCCAGTTATTTGATAGTAGTTCAATGTTGAGTTTAGTATGTGAAGGATATAACAACTGGAAACACTTGTCTGAAATGTTAAAGATTCATGAGAATACCACTTCTCATAAGAAGTTTTACCTTTCATGGATTGATGCTGAACTACGATTAAAAACAGGAAAAACAATAGATTGCCAAGAGCAACATTTGATTAGAAAGGAAAATACAAGATGGAATAATGTTTTGTCTAGATTATTGCATATTACACTTTATGTAGCTGAAAACAATATGGCGTTTAGAGGTACTTCCGACAAACTATATACGCCAAATAACGGAAAGTTCTTAGGCTTAGTACAACTGCTAGCCAAATTTCATCCAGTTATGCAGGAGCACTTACGATTAGCTATGAAGGGTGATGTGTCAGATCACTACTGGGGAAAAGACATTGAAAATAAATTGATAGAGCTGATGGGTGAAAAAGTGAAGTCAGAAATCATATCACAAGTAAAGAAATCAAAATATTAAGTTGATTGTACTCCAGACATTAGAACAACTTTTACTGACAATAAGATTTGTTGATTTATCATCAGATGACGATAAAATATCAGTAAAAGAGCATTTCATAGAATTTATACCTGTCAATGAGTCGACAGATGAAAGACTGACTGAAGTTATCATTGATGTTTTAAATAAATATGAACTGGAATTGAACAATTGTAGGGGTTAGGGTTATGACAACGGGGCTAACATGAAAGGAAAAAATATTGGGGTTCAAAGGAGAATTCTGGATATAAATCCCTTAGCTGTTTACGTACCGTGTGGCTGTCACAGCTACAATCTCGTAATCTGCGATGCCGCTAAGTCATCTGTAAAATCAGTCACTCTGTTTGGAGTACTTCAGAGGTTGTTCACATTGTTTTCAGCTTCTGTTCATCGATGGAAAATTCTAACCGATCACTTGGGATTATATACTATAAAAAAGCTCAGTGACACACGTTGGGAAGCAAGAATCAGCAGTGTTAAAGCAGTCCGTTATCAAATTAGTGCCATCCATGACGCTTTAATTACTTTAGCTATTGAAACTCAGAAAACTGATGTTCAAGTCTCTTATGAGTGCTCTAGCCGAACAGCTTAAAGATTTTAGCTTCATAGTGTCATTACTATACTTTTTCAAATTAATATTGTTAGTAAATCTCTGCAATCGACAGACACAGATCTCGGTAAATGCACAGAACTCTTGAAAAAATGCTGCACTTTCTTGGAAGAATATAGAAATACAGGCTTCAAAAGCGCCATTTTAACGGCGAAGGAATTGGCTCAAGAACTGGAAATTGAACCTGTGTTTAAAGCCACGACAAGAATTCGATATGTTAAGCGTCAAGCTGGTGAAACTGCTCGCGATGAACCTATAACTTCTCCGAAAAAAATAATTGAGATTGAATTTTTCAACTATCTTTTGGACACAACTATTCCTTCAGTCAATGAAAGATTTGCACAGTTAAATGAGTACTCGGAATATTGGTCTTTTTTGTACAATAATAAACAGATTCCGGAAAAACCTGACCTTGTCAAATTCTGTGGTGATCTCCAATTGAAATTAACTGTAGACTCTAAATCAGATATAGATGGGTGTATGTTGTGTGATGAACTCATAAGTCTGAAAACTTTTTTTCCTGATCAGAATGTGGCTACCCCTGTTTTTGTAAAATTTTATCAAAGATCGCAACTTACAAGAACTGCATCCATATATATGGATAGCAATGCGCATATTATTAACTATACCTGTAACGGTTGCTAGTGGGGAGAGGAGTTTTTCTAAACTTAAGCTGATAAAAACCTATCTGCGATCGACAATATCGCAATCCCGATTGACAAACTTGGCAACTTTGTCAATCGAGAATGAAATGGCTGTAAACCTCGATTTTGATAAAATAATAAAAGAGTTCGCTGACAGAAAGGCTAGAAAAGTCAAATTTTATTAGTTTTTTTTTTAATAAATTGTTATTTCTTTTAATAAATGGTTATTTCATTATATCTTTTTCCTTTTTTCATATGGGTTCGAATTGCAGTTAGGGGGCGCCGTATTCACCAGGGACTTCCTTTCTAGGGTATACCTGGTTCCCCGGCTATTAGTACCCGAGACGGCGTGCGGTTTTAGTCGGTTCGAGTCCGACATGCCACCGATGTGGTATCCGAGGGGATTTCCGCACGGAAAATAAATAAAAAATAAATAAGGGGGCGCCGTATAAATCTCGCCCAGGGCGCTGGTAGTGCTAAAACCGGCACTGGAAGCAGGGTAATTTTATCTAATTTAGAAGACATCATAAAAATAATTAAAGTATCCCAGTACTGAGTAGGCTGATTTAATGTAGTAAGTACTCTAATGTTCTTAGTAGTAGTGTCAATAAGGTAAAGGATAGACTTACAGGATTCTTTATGTAATGTATGGGTCAATGCTAAATAATGCCTGTAAGCGAGGACCGCCGTAGCCTATTGCTGAGGTCGCCGCGGGCGCCCCACAGGATAATAAAGCCATCGAGCTGAGCACATCTGACGTCCATCTACACTTTGAAATAGGGCACACATTAGAACTCAAGTATAAAAATTTAACACACACATCGAAAACTACAGACCCAATGAATTGGACGTACTTTCGTTTGAAAGGAAGCTAATTTAACCGCAGACTGGTCAATGTTAGCGTTCTAAAAAAGTTTTTTAGGTATAAATTGTTTAAGATAGATATTAGAAACTATGCTTAATTTATATTTTAATAAATATATAATGAAGCGTAATAAAAATAGAATAGTAATCGTATATATAAAGCTGAAGAAAAAAGAAACAAATATTGTTAGTGTTAAGACTTAAGTAAATAGTAAGATGTAGTGTTAAGTTAAGAGTAGTGGGAAGTAAACTGTCATAGTATATGTTAACGTGTAAATGTGATCCCTAGTATAAGAAGGAAATTTTCGTTAAGCAAACGCATAAGCTAGTTAAGATTTAGAATTGTTATAGTGTAAATAGACGAAGTAAGTAAGGTGTAACAATGCAAAGACACCAAAGAGAAAAACCATAAATATTAAGTACCGCACTGCAACAAAAGCGCCACCAATTTAAAGATTATTACTGTAATTTAAAGAAAAAAGGTTTGTGAAATCACCATCCACCAAAGGTCTTCGATTATGTTGGGGGAGAAAACGCGGTCCGGACCTAGGTACGGGCAAAAAAAAAAAAATAATAATAATAATAATGCCTGTACATGGTTGTTAACGAGTAAACGATTATTATCGTAACGCTCCAATAATAAATCACGCAATTTTATAGTTGTCACTCGAAACATGAATATGTTTAATAATTAAGGCCGCGCTCCCATGAAGAAAAGCGCGTAGGTAATAAAATTTGTTTACGTTATCTATGTTTTTATTGTTATGGATAATTGATGTAAAAGTATCCCTAAACTCAAGCCAGTGCTGAAATGAGGTAAATCTATTTTAGGCAATCTAACGTTGCAAATCTTGGAATCGTCACCTGATATAGCATCATTAAAGCTTGCTACAGATTCACGACGTTTATTCTAAGAGAGAAGGCAGCGGGTACACGCAACTAATGCGAAATATTCATTCTCGAAATGCTCACGCTCGGAGATGGACTCGTCATCCTCACCACTGGACTCATCACAAACTTCCTCGATGTCATCCTGTAACGTGTCGAATTCGCAATTTAAATTTTCAATTTTGCTTAAACGGCATTCAAACTCAGCAGTTTGCAGTTCACTAAGGCTTTTACAGCTTTTAAGGATATTAAGATGTTTGTTGAAGGTAGTAAGCTTTGATTTTAGGGCAGATCTTTTCTTAATTAATGTTTTAATATGATCAGGCATGAGGAAGAGCCGTGAAAAAGATTTATAAATTAATAAAACGATTAACATACAATTATTTAGTAAGCAAATATGTTTAAAAATATAATGAATAAAATGAACTATTAAAATAAAGGGTATTTATGAAGACTCGTAATAAAATGACACAAAGAATAGCTGTCCGCTAACAAAAGCCACGTGCGTATAGGCTTGCCACTTTTTTTTTTTGAGCAAATAAAGTACATTAGTTACTAAATGTAGCAAAAAACAAAGTACATTTTGTCAAAATAAAGTACCATCTATTTTACTATCTTATTTTGCTTAAAAAATTCTATATTAATGTACCTAGCAGGTTACCTCGCTATCCGGGTTCACTGCTCAAAGCTCCCCGCTGTCGCACAAATCTTGGTAAACACTCTCCAATAATTAGAATGACTAACCACTTTAATGAAGTTTCAAATAGATCTAATGATATAGATATCCTTATCAATAAACAGCTGACATCAATTTAATATAAATTTATTTGATTTAAATTATATATTATCAATGTAACTGTATATAATCTTATATTGTTGACTATTTAATTATTAACCATATTATCAGTAGTTAACTTTTGCAATGTTATTATTGTTTGTATTGACTTAATGAATTTAACAGTAATTTAATTTAATCAATTTTCATTAATTTATTTACTTCTAATTTGTGTAATAGTAATTTCTGATTCAAAATGTTATGTTTGACTCTTAATGCAGGCTGTGATCTTCTGTAATTAAGAATACACCAGATCAATAATTTATTATTCTCTGTGAATGCTATGTGATATTCTTGTTGAAGATCCTTAAATAAATAAATAAATTAATAAAACATATTTTTCATTACTTTTAGCAACTTTTGACAAATAATTATCATTGCTTAACAGCTTCACAGCATCTTTACACTACAGTTAAGTTAAAGTAAACAAGTAATTCATTTTTTATCAGATTCAGAGATGCTTTATTTCTTTCGTCTCGCTATTTGCTATTCATCACAGAAAAAACTCTTTCTGTGAATGCTGACGTGGCGGGAATCGACAGTAAAAATGAAGTTACTTTATACAAATTTGAAAAACTATCATCAATAGATAACAATAAGGCTTATTAAATACTTGCTGCTATTTTTGTGCAGTAGACAATTCCACAAAACCTTCAGAATTATATATATAATTATATAATTTCTTTAATAAAGAAATTTCTCCGTAAAGATCATCCATATTTATATTAAGCTTTTGCAGATTTAAATTTTCGTCTATGTTAAGAAAATTATCAAATTCGATATTGCTTTTAAAATGTATATTACTTAGTGTAAATAACCAGTTTGTGTCATTATAATCAAACAATTTATTAACGTATTCTAAGGCTTTTTCAATAAATAATTAAAAATTTGCATGAAGACAACAGTTCAATTTTTTTCCTGTTTCATAGCCAAAGAAGAGATCTTGTTTTCTTTGTACTAATCCTTTTTTAAGTTGTTGAATTGTTATGTATATTATTAAATAAAGTTAACATGTGACTACAAAAATTTAAATAAATCTCAATCAAGTCATTGTCAGTCTTATTGAGCATTAATAAATTTTGTAAAATCATTGGACAGTTTTTTAATAACTTCTAATAGGTGACCAATTTAATAATAATGT